TAGTTGCATTTCCACTCGTGTTCTATCCACCAATTTTCGTTTCAATCGGACAACTCCTTCTTGGTGCGTCGATTTTTTTGTTAGTGTAGTTGTATAAGACCTTAATCAATATTTGAGAGCTGCTTTTTTAGTCGACGCAAAGCAGTTTTATTTAAGTAGTTACTTGTTTTCACTTAAAAAAGTTGCCTTTTTTGAAACAAAATGTTGCAAAACTTACAGATAACAGATGAGTAGAATCCCTATGTAAATGACGACGGCATTCTAGAAAAAGGGAACTACTCGGGAAAATTCTTGGAAACCCATAAGGAAAAAAAAAAATTCTTGATTATTTTCTGTTGCATTAGGTTTCTTAACAGATCTCAAATACTTTAGTATCGCTGATTTCAAATCTGCAATCGGTTTCTTTCTCCAAGCTACAGATTTTCTTAAATGATATTTTTAATCTATTTTTGTCGAAATGTGCAAATTTAAAAATGTTATATATAACAGGAGGTCGCATAAATGTTGCTCCAAGCAACTAGTGGAGTTGGGATACACATCATCTGGATTAAAACTGCATAGGGACCCATGGCCGGATATGTTCTCGTGCTTCGCCGATGGGTGCTTCCCTATTATGAACTGTATCTTCGCTTGCTTCTGAACAGGTCATAATAGGAAAGCGTACCCAGTCGCATACAATGACATTTCCGGGCATGAGTTCCTATGCTATTTTAATCCCGATGATGTGCTATAACTCCCCTAGAAGTTAACGTTACTCCCTGTTATTTATAACTTTTTTTTATTTATAACATTTCGACAAATATATCATTTTTAAGAAAATATGTCGCTTAAAGAGAGGAAACGGTTTGCTGCTAAAGATGCAGATTTTTTTTTAAATGACTTCGTTAGTCTATTTTTTGTCGAAAGGTACAAATTTGAAAACGTTATATATAACAGAAGGTAGCATAAATGTTGCAACAAGCTTCTAGTGAAGTTTGTTCATATCATCCGGATTAAAGCTGCTTAGGGGACCCATGCCCGGAAATGTCCTCATGGGCCCCTAGTAAGTGCTTCCTTATTAGGAACTGTATTTTGGCGTTCTTCTGAACAGGTCATTATAGGAAAGCCTCTACATTCGCGTAAGATGACATTTCCGGGCATGAGTTCGTACACAGTTTTAATCTTGATTATGTGCTATAACTCCCCTAGAAGTTTACGTTACTCCCTGTTATTTATAACTTCTTAAACTTGTGCATTTCGACAAAAAATATAATAAATAACGTAAAAAAATCTGTAGCTGGAAGAGAGAAACCGGTTTGCTGCGAAAGCTGCAGATTTTTTTTTTTTTAAATTTTAAAAAAGACTTTTTTTGTCGAAACGTATAAATTTAAAAAGGTTATAAATATCAGGGGGTTGTGTAAACAGTGCGACACAAACTTCTAGGGACGTTAGGACACATCATCAGAATTAAATTAGCATAGGAACCCATTATATAATGTTTTTAAACTTGAACATTTCGACAAAAAAATATACTTAAGTCAATTAAAAAAATTCATAGCTTTACTTATTTTTTTGAAGAAACTGATTTCAGATTTGAAATCCCCACACCTGCCACCTGATAAGGTAAAGTCAAGTATTTTGAATATATACAACAACAAAAAATATTTTGTGTTATTTTTGAGAAAAGTTATCAAATTAAAAGATAATATAAATGTTTTACATTACAGTTATTTATCTGTTCTTGCAAAAACCTGTTTTACATTTTCCACTGGACAGGCATCAGTTGAAAGAAGTTTCTCTGTTATAACAATAAAAATGGCACATTTGAAAGATCAAGAATCAGCCTCGGCCCCATCAAAGACATACGAGTTATTAAAATAGCTGCAAAAAAAAATACAAATATTTTCATTACTCAAATAATGTAAAAATTTCATAAGGCTGCATATACTAAATACAAAGCAGTAAAGACTTCTGGACAAAAAGAAAATAAAATATATCGCAAGGGATAGATGACGTCGTGTTTTTTTCACAATCTACCACAAGTAAACGCTGATAGACTTTTTGACTTTAAAGAATGGGTATCAAGCCCCCAGTCAATGATTAATGCAGGCAATCAACATATCATAACTGGAATCAAACGAAAATGCATGGAACAAATAAAAGCAGCTTAGACTCTGATAGATGCTGGCCACAAAAAGGTGAAAATTGCCTAGGAAAATGTGTCCTAAAAATAATTAAGAATGTCCTAAGTTTTCAGATATGTTATATTTTTTCGAAATTTTTCTTATATTTTTAAAAATTGGTACTTACGCATTTTTCAAGGTATCACTACTTAAAAAAATGTTATTTTTACTTTGCAATTTTTTTTTACCTACAGCCAAAAATGATACAACCCTTGGGTCAAATTGGCGTACTTTTTGGATAATCCAAATCTGCAAAAAAAAGAAGAAAAAATAGGGGTTGTCTATATAAAATTTTAATGCTGTGTGAAGTCCTCTCTTGGAGAGAGATTAGAAGCTTGAGTTAAGTATCATTAAACGCATTCGTTGGAAATATTTCACACTTGCGTTTTTGAAAATTTGATGCAACAGTTTTCCTCAAGATATTTGACCGCGTTCATTTATTCTGAGCGAGCACATTGAACAACATATTTAAAAGGTGTATTTGAGTGATCATGTGTAAAAGGTGATTTTGCATTCCCGTTTTGATTTTTTTTTTGACTAGCAAAATAACTGTTTATCTATACGCTTTCAAAAATAAAAATAAAATGTATAAATCTCAATTCAGTCCTTAATATTAGGTATCATTTTAACCTGTCAAGTAGGTCTCTTGTCTGTACGCTTGATATATAAACTTAAAAGTATACTTGGTTATTGGATAATCCCTAGAAACAAGCGGAAATATATATTTGATAATGATTCGTTGGGAAACCCTTTTTTTTCTAATTCACAGCCGCAGGTCTGGAGAATGGATGCTTATTATTTAAAAGCTTAAAACTTGTCGCCATTTCCTCCTTTACAATTTTTGAAATGAATGAAGTTCTTATATTATTGAGTTTAAGTGCTACTTACTTCTAAAGCATTTTATTTTCGTTTATAAGTCCTCGAACAGCCGACCCAATTTTATGGGTTTACAACTACTAATGTTTAACTCAGTAGCCTTGCAATTTTGAACCCTATCCAGAAGACGAGGGAACTCCTGGATCGAGTATTGGGAGAAATTTGTATTCGTGGAGGAGTT